GAATATTTTCTTGAGAGTAATTATAATGAATTAATATTACACTTTGTCAAATACATTTACTGAATCTCATTTTCATGTAGTTTGTTCAATCATTTTGTTAATGTACTGATTCACTTGATTTTCATACATGGTTTTCATACAATCTGGGGATAAATCTTACTTGGTCATGGAGTATAATTTTTTAATTGTGCTTTTAAATTTGGTTTTCTAGTATTTCATTGAGGATATATATATATACATACATATATATATATATATATATATATATGCTCATCAGATATATTAGCCAGAAGTTTTTTGTCTTTCCACTGTCTTTGTTTGGTGTGATATCCAGGCAATGCCAGCCCAAGGATGAGTTGGCATCCTATTTGGGGGGAAGAATTTAAAAAGTATTCACACTGATTCTTAGAATGTTTGGTAGAATTTACTAGTAAAGCCATCTGGTCCTAGGACTTTTCTTCATTGGAAGATTTTTGATTGTAGGTTCAATCTCCTTACTTGTTATTGGTCTGTTCAGATATTCACTTTCTTCTTGATTCAGTTTTTGTAGGCTACAAGTTTCCAATGTTTCCAAAAATGTATGCAGTTCTAGATTATTCAGTGTGCTGATGTGTAACTGTTCATAATAGTCCCTTATTACCCTTTTTATTTTAGACACAACCATTTTAATGTCACGTTTTTAATTTGTGATTTTATTTGAGACTTCTCTCTGTTTTCCTTGGTCTAGTTAAGGGTTTTTAAATTTATTTTTTTCAAAATATGAATTCTTTGTTTTGTTGATTTTTCCATGGTTCTTATTTATGTATTTTTATTATTACATTTTATTGTTATTTTATTATCATATTGTATTATGTACAATGTGTAATGATCAAATAAAGAGAATCGGAGTTTCTATCACCTCAAATATTTTTAGTTATTTTTAAATATACAATAAAATATTTTTAATATATTATGCTACTAAATACTAGATCTCACTCATTCTACACAAACATATTTTTGTTTTTAAATTCTGTATTTATTTTTACCCTAACATTTATTGTATCCTTTTATTGATGACTTTGGACTTCGTTTGTTCTTCTTTTTCTAGTTTCTTTTTTAATTGAATGATAGCTGTGTACATTAATGCAACCATGGGGTACAGTGTGGTGTTTTCATATACAATTTGAAATATTTCCATCAAACTTGTTAACATAGCCTTTATGTCATTTTCCTAGTTATTGTGTTAAGACATTTATATTCTACTTTCAGAAAGATTCACTTATATCCTTGTAAGGATAAACCACAGAGGTGATCCCTCCAATCACCATCCCTCCACCCATCCACCAGCTCCTTTCCACTCCCCATCCCCCTCCCTCTAGTTTCTTGAAGTATAAAGTTAAGTTGTTACAGATCTTCCTTTTTTGTTAATATTAAGTGTTTATTACTATACACTTACTTGGTAGTATTGCTTTTGCTGCATTCCATAGGTTTTGTATGTTGTGATTTTTTATTTTATTTTATTTTTTTGTTCACAGATATTTTTTAAGTTTCCTTTTGATTTTCAATTTGACCCAGTGGTTTCTCAAGAGTGTGTTGATTAGTTGACATGAACTTGTGATTTCTCTGGCTTTCTTGATTTCAAGTTTAATTCCATGTGGTTAGAAAATATAATTGAAATGATTGAAATGATTTTTAAATTTGCTTAGTTTTTTTTTTTTTAGTGAATATAGCATCTATTCTAGAGAATGTTTCAACCATGATTGAGCAGAATGTGTATTCAATTCTGTGTAAGTTTATTAGGCTAACTTGTTTTAGAGGAACAAATTATATCTATTTGCAGATGACCTGATCACATACATAAGAGCTCTAAATACTAAAGTCAGAATAAATTAATTCAATAAAGTTGCAGTATACAAAATCAAGATAGAAAAATCAGGTGAATTTCTATACATAAATGACACACTACTAAAAAATAAAATTAAAATCCAGGCTTGGAAACTTAACTGTCCTTGGACACAGGACAGTTAAAAAGAAATAAAAAAGAAAATTAAGAAATCGATTCTATTTGCAAAAATAATAAGATGCTTAGAAACAAACTTTAAGAGATCAAAGACTTACACTAAGAATTATTAAACACTTATGAAGAACATTTTAAAACATAGACTGACATCTTTGTATTGTTAAAATGTCCATGGTACCTAAAATTATAAATATAATGCAGTCTCCATTATATTTCCAATGCTATTCTTCACAAAAATATTTTTAAAATCCTAAAATTCATAAAACCTTAAAATTCTTATAGAATTACAAAAGACTATGAATAGACAAAGCAATCTTGAGCAAGAAGAACAAAGCTATAGGCATCAAACACTCTGATTTTGACCACAGTGATCAGAACAATATGATAGTGGCATAAAAATAGACATATAGACCAATAAAATAATATAGAACCCAGAAATAAATCTATGCAGCTCCAGTCAACTGATATTTGAAAAGGATGCCAATAAAATACAATGGGTATTTTGAAAAGAGAATTTTGAAAAGTTTTCATCATAAATAAATGATAAATATTTGAGGTTATGAATAATCTAATTTTGTCCATTTTATCACTTCACCATGTATACATATATTGAAAGATTACAATGTATTCCATAAATATCTACAATTACTATTTATCAGTTAAAAAAAACAGGAAAGGATAGTTTCTTCAATAAATAATGTTGGGAAAACTGTACACTCACATGCCAAAGAATTAAATTGTAACCATATCTCACATTATATATAATAAAAAAACTTGGCTCAGTGCCTGCAGCTCAGCAGCTAAGACGCTAGCCACATACACTGGAGCTAGTGGGTTCAAATCCAGCCCAGGCCTGCCAAACAATAATGACAACTACAACCAAAAAAATAAAAATAAAAATAGCCAGGCATTATGGCAGGTGCCTGTGGTCTCAGCTACTTGGGAGGCTGAGGCAAGAGAATCACTTAAGGCCAGGAGTTTGAGGTTGCTGTGACAAGAGGTTGCTCTCCCTATGTCACCCAGGGTGACATAGTGAGATTCTGTCTGAAAGAACAAACAAATAAATAAAACAATTCAAAATGGATTAAAACTTGAATGTAAGACCTGAAATCATAAAACACTAAAAAAAATAAGAGAAAAGCTTCTTTCCATAGATCCAGGGAAGAATTTTTTGAATGCGATACCAAAAACATAAGCAATAAAAGCAAAAATAGGGAAAGGGCATTGTATCAAACTAAAAAAGTTTTGCATAACGAAGGAAATAATCAACATAGTGAAAAATAATCTACAGAATTATAGGAAATATTTGAAAACAACGTATCTCATAAAGTGCTAACATCTAAAATCATGTAGCTCTCTAACAACTGAATAGCAAAAAATATAAATAGCCTAGTTAAAAGTACCTGAACAGACATGAATATGTTTCTCAAAAAAGGACACACAAACAGCAAAAAATTATATCAAAATGTACATGGTCAACATCATTAATCATCATGGAAATGCAAATCAAAACCACAAGGCATCACTTCATACCAGTTAGAATGTCTATTGTTAAAGAAACAAAAGACAACTGTTGACAAGATTGTGGAGAAAAGAGAACCTTTGTATATTGTTGGTAGAAATGTAAATCTGTATACCCATTATGGAAAATGGTATGTAGGTTCCTCAAGAAAATTAAAATAGACCTACACAATGACCCAGCAATCCCATTTCTGTGAAAACATCCAAAGGAAATTAAATCAGTATGTTGAGAGGTTATCTGCAATTCCAGGTTCTTTGCAGCATATAAGAAATCATCAAGTTTAATACAGATGTTCTTTGACCTACAATTGAATGATATCTTGATAAACTCATTATAAGTCAAAAATAAGCAAAAAGATGCACTTAATGCCCATAGCCCTTCATAAATTTGAGAAATTCTAAGTTGAACCAGCCTAAGTCCAGATGCTTAATTTATTATGGAGTACATCCTGATAAATCCACAGTAAAATTGAAAAATCACAAGTCAAGCCATTGTAAGTTGGAGACTATATGAACCTTAAATATACACAGTTTTCAATTGTCAACTACATTTCAGTAAAGTTGGGGAGGGAAAGTTAGAATGAAAGCAGAAAACAATAAGTAAAGTGATATGAGTACAAAAAAATTCAATGATTTTGTTTTTGCAATTTTAGAGCAATGGAACTATTCTGTAAATATGTAATGGTGCCTATGTGATATTATGCATTTGTCAAAATCCATAATATTATGTCTTTTATAATTATCTTTCATAATTCTGTGGGTTTTGACAAATGCATAGAGTGAATCTTAATGTAAGGCATGGACTTAAATTAGTGATAATGCATCAGTATTGGTTCATAATTATAACAAAGATACCAAACTCATGGAAGATGTTAATAATAGTACAAACTCCAAAAATAGCAAAAAGATTAAAAAATAAAAAATTTCCTCTCGGGGCAGTGCCTGTGGCTCAAAGGAGTAAGGCACCGGCCCCATATGCCGGAGGTGGCGGGTTCAAACCCAGCCCTGGCCAAAAACTGCAAAAAATTTCCTCTCATCTTTCACTTCTTAACTATGGTCTCTTCTGTAAAGTCTTCCCTGAAGACCCTAGAAAACCCTGGGTAATGTCTTCTTTGTATTTTTTCCCCTCTATATATACATACTTACTTTCTTTCTTTCTTTCTTTTTTTTTTTTTTTCACTTTTTGGCTGGGGCTGGGTTTGGACCCACCACCTCCGGCATATGGGGCCGGCACCCAACTCCTTTGAGCCACAGGCACCACCCTATACATATATATTTTCTTTGTTGCACTTAGATATTGGGCTATGTTATTGCCAGAACCATGTCCCCACCACCCGGTAATAACCCTGAGTCAAAATTAAGGCTTTTCTTCTTTGTATGTTCAACGTATATGACCATGAATCATGATCTCAATATATGTTAAATGAAAGAATAAACTGCAGATCACATGATTTACTCAATAATTGTTGCTGATGTTTACCTGGGTCACACATGTAGCTTGATCTCTTGTTTGATCTTCCATTCCAATAAGTATTAATATCTTTCTATATAATTAACAATAAAAAACAGATCCTTAGAGAATTATTTTGTAAAATTTGAACACCAACCATTATTTCTATATATAATAAGGTAGGGAAATTTAAGATTTTTAAAATCTTTTATACTAAAGGTATACATTTTTACTATGTTTGTGTTATGTGTATTATTTACAGAATTTAAAAGTTCATAGTTGTATCAGAAGTTGTCCAAAAGACCAGACACACATTTTTGTGATTTGTTAAAGCTTTGGGTCTCAGCATACATTTGTATTCATGTACAAAATTTATTACAATGAAAAAATATGCATAGGTTAAGTAAAGGGGAAAGTTACAGGCTGAGTCTAGAGAAATACATGCAGTCTTCCTTATGCTCTCTTTCTTCTGTGAAATGACAAACTTGATTATGTTCTTTTCTACAGTAATAAAAGATGTAGTGACATGTGTACAGTGCTTTTGTCCCAGAAAATCATTTAGAAATTCAGCAACGTTTCTATGGAAGGCTCTTCATGTAGACACCTTCTGCCTTAGCACATATCACAATTCCAGACTCTCAGAAGAAAAACATGTGTTCAGCAAGAATCACATTGTGCATCCTGTCTAGGTACAGTCAACCAGCCTAAAGTTTCACATGTAGAAAAATGTTTCCCAGTCAAGTTCCCACAGACCAGCTAAAGGCCAACCTTGCCCAAAGGCCTCTTTAACAATAGACGTGTCCAGCCTGCTATCTTACCTCTGTTTTCTGCAAAATAGTATTTGCTTGTATCCTGAAATTGACTGCCCACGGAACACATTAATTAGCAAGGAAGTTAATCAACTTGGTGGGAAAAAGAATAAGGTATTTTTCAAAATGTTGGATTAGTACAAGGATACATACAATTAGGCTACGTTGTTTAAATTTGTTAGGTAAAGTCCAAGTTGTAGTTGAGCCCTTCTCCCAGGAGGTGCAAACTATTACAGCCTTATTGGAGAAAAGTATAGAAAATTCTCAGAAAACTAAAAGTAGACCTTCCATTTGCTCCTTCAACCCCATTACTAGCTATCTACCCAGAAGAAAAAAACCATTTTACCACAAGAACATTTGCACTTAAATGTTTATCACAACCACCAAGATATGGTAACAACCCAAATGCCCACCAACCCATAAGTGGAATACTATTCAGCAGTCAGTATGTTTATTTAATAAAGGGGAAAAGTGTAAGTGAAATTGAAAGGCAGAGAACAGATTTCTTTCAGTACTGGATGTAGCTCTCTGGTTTTGTCAAAGAACTTAATCTGCTCTGGGAAGCAAATCCAGTATAATAAATTTTTTTTTTCCTATATCTGGGAGCTAAAAACATGCCACCAGAAATACATTTTCTCATAGAGGTAGGCTGTGTGCAACATTTTAGAAAACAGAACATAATACAGTCAGCCCTCCTTACCCACAGGTTTCCCAACTGTGGGATTAGAATTATAGAATGGAAACAATGTACCTGAATTATATGTATCCTTATATTAATCTCAAATTTTAAAATAATACTCAGGGAGAACTCCATCTGTACTGAACATGTATAAACTTTTTATTCTTGTCATCATTCCTTAAACAATATACTATAACAATATAAATTAGCATTTATATTGTACTAGGTATTCTAAGTAACCTAGAAATGATTTAAAGTATACAAGAGGGTATATACATTAGATTATATGAAAATAATCTGCCATTTAAAGTCAGAGATTTGAGTGTCCACAAATTTTGCTATCTGTGGAGGTCCTGGAACCAATCCGTCATGGATACTGAGGAACTACTGTACTTATCAAAATGTTTGTTCCTTCTTTCCTAACAAATTAGATATTTGTGAACACCAGGCACTCATTTGAGAACAACATGGATGGCAAAGTTAGTACACACATTACTCCAAAAGAGGTTTGTAACATTTAGACATGGTTTTCAAAGGAGATTTTTATTATTATTATTTTTTTTTTTTTTTTTAAGACAGAGCCTCAAGCTGTCCCCCTGGGTAGAGTGCCATGGCTTCACTGCTCACAGCAATCTCCAACTCCTGGGCTCAAGCGAGTCTCCTGCCTCAACCTCCCAAGTAGCTGGGACCACAGGCGCCCGCCACAATGCCCGGCTATTTTTTGGTTGCAGCCATTATTGTTGTTTGGCGGGCCTGGGCTGGGGATTCGAACCCCACCTTAGGTGTATGTGGCTGGCACCTTAGCCACGTGAGCCACAGGCGCCGTGCCTTTTTATTATTATTATTATTGAGAACTTGAAATGTGTTTGGCAATCTGACTACATGAAATGTCAAAATTGTTAAAGTTTTCTTGTCCTGATTCTTATCCTATTTAATGTGGCTGCTGCCATAGTAAAGCAGCGAAGTAAGACCAATACACACTTGATAAATGTTTATTTATAGTAAAACTACACTACAGCAAGGCATGTTGTGGTAAAATACATTTTAGGAGTTATGCATAATTTAGCATATTAATTATTATGCATTATAGAACATGTAAAATGATGCCATTTTCTACCCTAAACATTAAGAATTCATTTGGAAATACTTTAGCAAATTTCCAGTTTACTGAAATTTATTTTAAACCAAATTAACTTCCTAGCACAGTTGAACCTATTAACATTATGCTACTAATAAAACCAACTATAATAACAAGTTGGAAGCCCACACAGAATATCTACTTCATGTTACATCTTGAATCTTTGCTAGTAACTTTCCAGCAAGAGGCAACTGATCACTGGTCAGGAAGTACTGAATCAGTACAAGTACAAGGCCAATCTCTGAAGACTGTGGGTACATGCTGGGAACTACCATCTTGTGACTTACCTTGAGGCAAACTGTCTCAAAGTTCTTGAATTTGTTTCACAGTATGACTAATTTCAGAAATTAGTATGGTCACTTAAAATTGTATTTTTACCTATCAGTGAAGATCACAAAACCATACCTCACTTATTCTCTTTGTATTTAAAGTAAAAGTAAAATTACATACCTCTTCCTTCGCAGAGGGTACATATTTGAAGAAATTTCTTGAGGATGAAATTTGAGGTGAAATAACTGAATTTCGAGCTGACATGGTTGCAGTTCCTAGAGAAACACAAGGGAAATTTAAATATGAGAAGATAATATTCCTGGAACAAAGGTGAATATTAACCTATAGCATTGCTCCAAAGTTTCTCTGCTGAGCTGCCACAGTAACTGGAATTACCATTATTGGGGATTTATTTGAGTTAAAGAAGAATCTCCAGAATTAACACGATTTTATAATGTTTGCTGCCTACAAATTTCCAGCAGTTCACCATTACCTACAAAGACAAGTCTGAAATCTTTAACCCCTGATACTGATTTATTTATTATGCCAGCTTTATCTTCTGCCATGAACCACAGCCTACTGCCAGAATTAACTGTTTGCATTCACACAGTAGGCAATGAGAAACAAAGAATAAACAAAGCTTTGTTTTAGGTGATAGCTTTTACAGCAAACGGTATAGTGGATTAAAAAGAGAAAGAAAATGTGGGAGGCCAAGGTGGGTAGATTGCTTTTCACAGGTTCAAGAGTAGCTTGAACGAGAGTGAGACACTGCCTCTCAAAATAGCCAGGCATTGTGGTGGGCACCTGTAGCCCCAGCTACGCAGGAGGCTGAGGCAAGAGAATCACCTGAGCCCAAGAGTTTGAGATTGCTGTGAGCTGTGATGCCACAGCACACTACCGAGTGCAACAAAGTGAGAATCTGTCTCAAAAAAAAGAGAGAGAGAGAGAAAAGATTGGAGAAAGGTTATTTCAGTAGTACAGAAGGGAGAAAACAAGGGCAGAGGTAGTGGGAATGGCAAAGAGTGCAGGACAAGATAAATTCAGGAGGTAGCAGATTAGACAAAAAACAGTAACATATAAGAAAGAAGGATTGTTGGAAATAGCTTTCGCTTTGTGCTTCAGTGAGAGTAAGAGGGTCAGGAGGATAAAGAATTTGGTTTTGGGCAGCACCTATGGCTCAAAGGGTAGAGCGCCAGTCCCGTATGCCAGAGGTGGCAGGTTCAAACCCAGCCTCGGTCAAATACTGCAAAAAAAAAAAAAAAAAAGAATTTGGTTTTGTACTGAGTTTGAGGTCATCATTAACCATTGGCTAGAGATACCTAGCATTTTCTCTGTGTGTATGAACGATATACATGAGAGCATGTTTAGTGACTTCAAGGAAGCTAGCAAGGCACAAAGACCCTCGGTAATGTATTTCTCATTTAAAGGAAAATGGAGAAAAGGTGGTATTTTTGTGAGAAACTGATGAAGAGTATAAGGACATTCTTAGGGACAGCTTTCTGTATTGCAACCTCCTGAACCCAATATCTTACTTTAACTATCACTATAACTAGTCACAGGAGGAGCGCTAATTTTTCCACACTTAGCAAATTATAAAGGGCACACTCATCAAGCAAGCATTCAATATATGAGATAAATATAAGCTCTGTATTCATAAATGCTGCTATATCATCTTTACTTTTTTAGAATAAGAATGATTTTATAATTATGTAAAACAACTTAAAAACTGTATAACTGTTTGATAAAACTACAAAACTATAACTATGTACTTAACAGAAAAATTATGAATATTTCCTTACCTCTGTCATCAAAAATATTTGATCTGTTAGTTGTCATTCCATCTTTCTAAATGGCACAAGGTTAAAGAGAAAAATATTTATTACTAAATGTACTTCCAAAAGAAATTTTTGCCTTATTGCCATCAACTAAATGAGTACAGATGTTTTCTCCTCCTTTATCTTTTAATTTTGGTATAAAAAACTATGAAAGGATGATACACATCATCAACTTTCCAGGATATCGTCCACAGAATTTCAAATTTAGCTTGTTCAAAATTGAGTTCAATATGTAGCAACGTACAAACTCGCTCCTCCTCCAGTATCTCATATTTTGTCTAAAGGCATAGCAATCCATTCAGTGGTTCATTCTAAAACGTTTAGAGCTATTTGGTTTACATCAGAAGTCAATCCACCCTCTTCCTACTCAATCCAATGAAATGTGTTGCTTATTAAAAATATTGCTTAGAACCAAAGATAATCATTCCAGACACAATTAAATCACTACACAGTGAGTTCTTTTCTCCTAACTTTTATTTCAAAATATTAGGGGTATAGTTGTTCTTATAATTGTTATATGGATGAATAGCATAATGCTGAAGTCAGAGCTTTTAGTGTGCCCGTCAGCAGAATAGTGTACAATACACATAATTAGTCATTTTTATCCCTCTCTCTCCGCCTACTTTCCCCCTTCTTAGTTTCCAGTGTCCTTTATACCACATGTACCTATCATTTAGCCCCCGTTCATCAGGGAGAACATATAGTCCCATTCCTGAGATACTTCACTTAGGATAATATTCTATCCAAGTTGTTGTGAGTGACATCATTTTGTTCCTTTTTATGTCTTAGTAGTACCCCGTGGTATATACAAACAGTATACAGCAGTATGTATACACATTTTAAGAAAGGGAAAAAATCTATTAAGATTGTAATACCCAAGTCATATTTATTTGAATTCTGCAATTAGAAGAGCTACAAGATACAATGTAATAACGTTATTAATATATGTTAAGTATTCCAATTTTAATAATTTTTCCCTTGCCTAAAATGCATACATTTTTTAACACCCTGTGTGTATGTATATGCCTACATACATACACACACACAAACACGTTTTCTTTATCCACTCAGTTGATGGCCACTTCGGTTGACTCCACATCTTTGCAGTTGTGAATTGTGATGCAGTAAACATTCAGATGCAGGCATCTTCTTGATAGAATTGACTTCTTGTCCTTTGAGTAGATACCAGTAGTAAAATTGCTGGATCAAATGATAGTTCTACTTCTAGTGATTTGAGGAATCTCCATACTGTTTTCCATAAATGTTGTACTACCTTAGAGTACCTCCAATAGTGTATAAATATTCCCTTTCACTGCTTCCAAGCCAACATATAGTTTTTTGATTTTTTAATAATGGACATTCTAATGGGGTAAGGTGGATCTCATTGTGATTTTAAGTTGCATTTCCCTGAAAACTAGTGATGTCAAGTGCTTTTTTATAGGTCTGTTGGCCATTTGTGTATTTTCTTTTGAAAAAACTCCCTGTATTTCTTTCACTCATTTTTTTAAAATAAGGTTATTTGGCTTTTTCTTTCTAATTTGTTTCAGTTCTCTATAGATTCTGGATATGAGCTCTTTTTTGGATGTATAGTTTGTGAATATTTTCTCCCATTCTGTATGTTATCTACTTTGTTGATTCTTTCCCTTGCTGTTCAGAAACTTTTTAATTTAATTAAGTCCCATTTATTGTTGTTGTTGTTATTGAAGTGTTTGCCTTTGGGGCTCTTAGTCATAGAATCTTCACCTAGATTGATGTCTAAAAGAGCTTTTTCTATGGTTTTGTCCTTAAGTTTTATGGTTTCAGGCCTTATATTTAGGGTTTTAACCCATCTTGACCTAATTTTTATATATAATAAGAGATAGGGACTCTGCTTTATTCCTCAGTGGTTATTCAGTTACCCAGCACTATTTATAGAACAGGCTAGGCTGTCCTTTCCCTAGTGTGTTTTTGTCTGTTTAGGCAATGAGTTCTTGAAGAGATTGATTATGTCTTATTCATCTTTGTATCTTATGTGACTCACTTTTTTGTTTCCCTCATTCTGACTTAGCATAGCACCTGGTCAACATCACATGCTCAATAAACAATTGTTATTATGATAATTGCTAAATGTTTGTTTGGATTATTTTCTCCTACATTGCACAATGCATTTGGTATAAAGATAACTTGATACTTTCTTCAGAAAATGAGAGTAGGTCTCTGAGCAGAACCCAATATTTCTAAACATTCAGTACCATGTTATTAATATTAAAGAAAGTGATTCATAGGAGTAAAGTTAAGTAGATACATTAATAGTAACTATATGAAACACTGAAATGTCATTTTATACCTTTTGAAATGTATCATTATCCTGTACATCTGACTGGTGGTAAACTGATGTTGCCGACTTTTTTGTGACACTCTTTGAACTAGGTTGAGACTGAAGAGCAGAGTTTACTAAAAGAAAATGGAAGAGAGACTCTATAGTTTTTGTTAACAATTTGATTAAAGTATAAGTGAGGTATGATACAATGTAATTATTTAGAATCAATTCTGAAATATGTAATAACTTTGTAATCATCACTATACTCAAGATAACATTTCCATTACCCCTAGTTTTCTAATGCAACTTTGTAGTCTATCCATCTCTCTTTTCTCACACTCAAGCAATAATGATTTGCACTTCTAACTCAAGATTAGTTTGCAGTTTTTAGAATAAAATGGAATCAATCACATGCTATGTACTCTTTTGATTTTCTTGGCTTCTTTTACTCAAGATTATGTTGTTGCAATTATTAACACTTTGTTCTTTTTTATTTCTCAGAAGTGTTCTATTAGATTAGAATGCGTCACAATTTTTTATCTACTCATGTATTGATGCACATTTTGGTTGTTTCAGTTTTGGCCTTTTATAAATAAACCTCTTTGAATTTTCATGCACAAATCTTATGCTGATATAGTTTTTCATTTTTATGGGGTAAATACCCAGAATGAATACCATAGGTGATGTGGTAGACATATGCTTAACTTTAAAGAAACACCAGACGTATTTCTAAGGTGGTTATACCACTTTACTGTCAATCAGCAGTGTGCATATCAATCAGCAGTGCATCTGAGTTTCAGTTTTCTCACCTTCTTGTTAATATTTAGTATACAGAAGACAGGAAATAATAAAGATAAAAGTGAAATGTAAGAAATTCAAATGAAAACAAGAGAGAAAATTATGAAACACTTGGCTGTTTAAGATATTCAGTAAAACAGTGATTTTTCAATCGGTGAGCCATGGCACACGGGTGTACTGTGAGAGGATCTTAGGTGTGCCATGAAAATTTTTAAAGATCATTAAATTGTTGTTTTGGAAAGAAGTTCAAAGCACAGTAAGTATATTCCTTTTTTAAAAACTCTTTTATTGATAAACGTAATTTAGTGTGCCAAGCAAATTTAACTATAGGTTCACATGTGCCTTAAGATTAAAAAAAAGGTTGAAAAACACTGCAGTAAAGTGATAAGACAGATTTGTCAAAAGAGAGTACACAAAACAGCACAAGAGAGTCTACAGGCAATTTCTAAAAGTTACAATAAAAAATGGCATGAAAAATGTATAACAATAAATTTGAAAGATATACAGGGAAGAATTATCTAGAAAAATTCAAACTACCAAATTTAATTCACAAATAGACATGAAGAACCTTATAGGTACCTGACAAAAGCTGTCTTCTGAAGAAATTGAATATCAAATTAAAAGCTGTCCACAAACAATAAGCTTCTTACTTAAATGACTTCATTTCTTTTTTTTTTTTTTTTTTTTGAGACAGAGCTTCAAGCTATCCCCCTGGGTAGAGTGCTGTGGCATCATAGCTCACAGCAACCTCCAACTCTTGAGCTCAAGCGAGCCTCCTGCCTCAGCCTTCCAAGTAGCTGGGACCACAGGTGCCCACCACAACGCCCGGCTATTTTTTGGTTGTAGCCATTATTGTTGCTTGGTGGGCCCGGGCTGGATTTGAACCCGCCACTTAGGTGTATGTGGCTGGCGCCTTAGCCACTTGAGCCACAGGTGCTGAGCTGACTTCATTTCTTAATTGCACTAAACATCTAAGAAATAAATTAGACTAATTCTACACAAATGTTTCCAGACAAAGAAGAGTGAATAGTTCCCGATGTATACTTTCAAAGGATTAATCTTACACAAAATATCCTTACAAGATATTATGAGAAAATGAAACTGTGTTCAATTCCCCCATGAACTAAGATGCAAAAATTATAAGCAAAACAAATCAAATCCAATAATATATAATAGAGATAATGCATTGTGAATATGCAGCCTTTATCTCAAGATTGAAGGATTAATCTATCATTCAAAAATCAAAGTTATTTTCTGTATCAACAGAAAAAAGGAGAAAATTCATGTGATTATCTCAGATACAGGAAAAATATAATAAAATTCAACCCTCAATCATGATTAAAAAAAAAAAACTCTTAGTGAACTAGGAATAAAAGGTGTCTTCTAATCTCTACAACTAATGACCTGATTTATGTTGCTCACTTTCTCTTATATTTGGAACAATGTTAGTAAGTACACAATCACCACTGTTGTTCAACACTGTGCTGAGGATCCTAGCAAGCAAGAAAAAGAAATATGAAGTGAAGCCAAACAAAATCCCAACAGACTTATTTTGTAGAATTGTCAAGGTGTTTCTAAAATTGTTATGGAATTGCAAAGGCCTAGAATAACCAAGTCACCCTAGAATAACAACAAACATTAGATAACTCAAACTGTCAAATTGCAAAATTTTTTTTTTTTTTTTGCCAGGGCCAGGTTTGAACCCACCACCTCTGGTATATGGGGCCAGCACCCTACTCCTTTGAGCCATAGGCGCCACTACATAACTTCTTATAAAGCTACAGTAATAAAGAGAATGCTGAATTTAATAGGGACAGACAAATAGATCATCAAACTCAAAAGAGGATATGTAGAAATAAGCCCACCTACCTATGATCATTTTGCCTTTCAAATTTAACAAAACAACTCAACGGGTTAAAGGCTTGTATGTGTACAAGATAAACTTACATCTTCCTATTTTTCCAAATAGCAAGGAAACTATCAAAGACCATTAGAGTTATGCCACAAAAGACTAGAATTATCATGAGGTTTCCACTGGCAAAATGTGTTACAATTTGAGCATCAATAAACACAATAACTGCAATGTATTAAAACACATCAAATTTATTTGAATCCATGTATTTATGACACTAAACAAAACTCTGTACATCATTGAAGGATGGCATTGAAACAATTTATTATTTTGAAAACTGATAAATGAGGCAGTGCCTGTAGCTCAGTGGGTGGGGCACCAGCCACATTCACCAAGCTTGGTGGGTTCAAACCCAGCCAGGGCCTACTAAAACAACAATGACAACTGCAACAAAAAAAATAGCCAGGCATTGTGGTGGGTGCCTGTAGTCTCAACTACTTGGGAGGCTGAGGCAGGAGAATTGCTTAAGCCCAAGAGTTTGAGGTTGCTGTGAGCTATGAAGCTTCAGCACTCTTTTGAGGCTGACATAGTGAGACTCTGTCTCAAAAAAACAAAATCTAAAACTAAAGAATGATAGTAAAATATTAAACATGTAATTTAGTCTGCTTTTCCTAACTGCTCTGTATCATAATGAAACTAAATAATAGTTGAGGGGAATTTTTTTTATAAAAGTATTCCAGCTAATTTATGAAGAAGGAATGATAGAATTAAAGTATCTCAATTTTGCTACCATTAATTAACTCAGGGATTTAGGTCTTGAGCACAAATAGCTTTTGAATCAAAGAGAAAAAAAAAAAAAACACCAGATATTATATGTCTCCTGATGGAGTGGAAGACCATCATTTATGAATCAGGCTAGCCAAAGAAATTCAACCCCAAAGCCTATAGATTTAAGCAAAACTTTCTAGGAAATACAATGGAGATAACACACAGAACTATACCATACAGTTTCTATGCTAGAAATCTTTGGTTTCTGGCAAAAGTTAGAAACTCAATGGAACAAAAAAATTGTAATAAAAAAGACAAAAGGATGAGGAGGAGGGAGAAATGTATAGAAGAAGAACCTACAGATTAAATGTTTCTCAAAAGACATATCAACCTATTGCAATGTGTATCAATGCACATTCAAACATTAAAATATTTTTGTGACAATTATGAAGTTATTGAACATTTGAATAGATACCATTATGAAATTATTAATTTGAGTAATGTGATACTGATATGGTAGTGATGTGATTTTTGATTTGATCATTTAAAAAAATGATCCTTATCTTTTAGAGCAGTGATCCTCTCAAGCTTCCTAATGTCATGGCCCTTTCATACAGTTCCTGTGGACTGAGAACTGCTGTTTTAGAGATACACATTAGCATATTGATGAATGAGATGATATTACATGTGGGATATACTTTAAAACTACATGGCAGTAGAGAGTTGTTGAGGGCACAGGCAAGACAAAATTGCTTTTGAGTTGTTAAAATTGAATGATAAGGGTTCATTATCCTAATGTTTGTTTTTATATTAGAAATGTTTAATAAGAAAATATTAACATATCAATAAAAAGCTGTGGAAATGTTTGTCACAGATAAAAGATTAATGTATCTCCCATATCCAAAAGAGCTCATAGAAATTGACCTCAAATAAAAAGTAACAATACATAAACCATGAAGGAATAAAAGTTAAATTTTATTATATTGAATTAAGAACTTCTGCACATTCAAAAATAGAGAAAATAGAAACAAGCTGCAAACCGTCGGGAGATATTTGCCATACCATACATATGTATCCAAGAGATGAGTATCTGGTATGACTAAAAATTCTTCCAAATCCATAAGAAAATCTACCAAGAAGGAAAATGGCCAAGGTATAAGAAATGGTAATTTCGGTAATTTCTCAGAAGAAACAAAACTCAGAAACTCCTATAGAATCACTTGTCCATATGTATCAGGTTATCCATCCATACAAGAATGTTCAGTGCATAATTGGTCAAAATAACAAATATTTCCATCAAAAAAATACTTATTTGTATATAATATATATTATACAGTTATATTTATTGCATATTATGTATGTATTTATTATTATATATTTCACTAATAGCTATATCCTGTTTGTGAATATACCAAAGTTTATTTTATAGATATAATTATATATAAATATGTACATTTACATATTATATATATTATATCCTGTTGTATGAATATCTCACAGTTTATTATATATATTATTATATATAAACATATATTCACACAACAGGATATGGCTATTAGTGAAATACACTACTAGGTAATATATGGAAAAATCTTTTGGAACATAATGCTGACTATAAAAAGTAAGTCACAGAAGTCTAAGTACAATATCATATCAGTTATAGTAAAATATCTTAATGATGGTGTCTATATGTGCATCTTTACCTATGTAAGTAGCTTAAAGATATACACATTATAAAATACATACATATATGTATGTATGTATATATATACATATTGATTATGTATATGTATACATATACATATACATAATTGATTATGCCAGTAACCAGACAGCATTTGGATAGCAGTTCCCTTTGTGAGAAAAAGAGGCTATTTCAGAAAAATTGGTCAAAAGATTAAAAACTTGCAGTTTAAAGAATCTCAGTGAATCCCAAAGTGGTGAGAGGGGCAACGAAATTCACACGTAGACACCCTGTAGTAACTCGTCAAACTGCTGAAAACTAACCCCTACATTTGAAAACAGTTAAAAAATGATACATTCTTTATAAGGAAACAATAGTTAAAATATTGATGAAAACAATAAAGTGAAACAACATTTTTAAAGTTCCATAAACAAAATAGCTCGACCTATAACTCTATGTCAAATGAAGACAACATCCTTCAGGAATGAAATTAAAAATATTCTCAGATTAAGGCCAGGTGCAGTGGCTCATGCCTATAATCCTAGCACTCTGGGAGGCAGAGTTTGAGACCAGCCTGAGCCCAGGGAGACCTCATTTCTAAAAATAGCCAGGCATTGTTAGGGGGAATGGTGCCTGTATTCCCAGCTACTTGGGAGGCTGAGACAAGAGCATCACTTGAGACCAAGAGTTTGAGGTTGATGTGAGGTATGATACCACAGCACTCTACCAAGGGCAACAAAGTGAGTCTCTATCTCAAAACAAACAAACAAACAAACAAAAACTTAAATTAAAACTTAAATTAAAACAAAGAACTAAGATAATTCAATGATATAAAATATGTTCTAAAAGGAATTCTATGAGATGTTCTATGGACTGAATAAAAATAATGCAAGAAAGACATGTGGGACCTCAGGAATTAAAAGGTTAACCATGTGCCAACAATTTGGGTAAATAGTAAAGACTATTTTCCTCTATTGAATTATTTTAAATTGTTTGATGATTAAATGTGAAACTTTTTACATGGGTTGAATGTTTGATGTATGTAGCTGTAATACATAAAACAATTATGAAAGGGTAAGGGGTAAAGAGACATGTAAAGTAACTACATTCCACTTAAAGAGGTAAAATATTTGTTTACAGTTGATTGGGAAGACGTATGTACATCATAGTCTATAATGAACATTACTAAAACTAAATAAACAGACAGTAAAAACAAAAGCCTTGGGCAATTGGAAACCAAATTTTTCTAAAAGTATGTGTTCAATAGTACAAGAAAAGGAAAGTACTTAGGTATAAATATAAAACAAGATATTTAAAATATATACACTGAAAACTATAAGACATTTACTAAAAAATTAAGGATGACTTAAAAAGAAAAGCATACAATGTTCATGAACTAGAAGACTCTGTGTAGGTTAGGAGCTGTGTCTCACACCTATAATCCTAACACCCTAGGAGGCCAAAGGGGAAGGACCACTTGAGCTCAGGAGTTCAAAATCAGCCTAAGCAAGAGCGAGACCATGTTTCTACTAAAAACAGAAAAGTTAGCCAGATGTTGTGGTGGGCACCTGTACTTCCAGCTACTTGGGAGGCTGAGGGAGGAAAATCACTTGAATCCAGGAGTTTGGAATTGCTGTGAGCTAGGGCGATGTTAGGACACTCTAACCTGGGGCAGCAGAGTGAGAATCCCATCTCAAAAAAAAAAGAGAAGACTTTGTATGTCTTTTCTCCTCAAATTAAATAAAAGGTAGATAAGCTAATTATAAAATGTATATGGAAAGGAAAATGAATTAAAATACCCATAATAATCTTGAAAAAGGAATAAAGTTGGGAAAACAATACTACCTTATTTTAAGATAATAAAATGAGCATTTTTTCAAATGTTTGTTAGCCATTGGTATGTCTTCATCAAAGAAGATTTTGTTCATATCTCTTGCCTAAAGGTGGATGGGATTGCTTACTCTTTTTGGTGATTAATTTGAGTTCTCTGTAGATTCTAGTTATCAACCCTTTGTCAGATGAATGGCTAACAAACATTTGAAAAAATGCTCATTGTCCCTGATCATCAGGAAATGCAAATCAAAACCACCCTGAGATATCACCTAACCCCAGTGAGATTAGCCCACATCACAAAGTCTCAAAGCTGCAGATGCTGGCATGGATGTGCAGAGAAGGGAACACTTTTACACTGCTGGTAAACAAACAATCTAGAATGAACATTACAAAAACTAAATAAACAGACACAGTAAAAGCAAAAGGGACTGCAAAATTAATACAGCCTTTTTGGAAAGAAGTATGAAGAATCCTCAAAGAACTCAAATTAGACATCCTATTTGATCCTGCAATCCCATTGCTAGACATCTATCCAGAAGAAAAAAGAAATCCTTTATCATAAGGACATTTGCACTAGACTGTTTATCGCAGCTCAATTTACAATTGCCAAAATGTGGAAACAACCTAAATGCCCACCAATCCAGGAATGGATTAACAAGCTGTGGTATATGTATACCATGGAATACTACTTAGCCATTAAAAAAGATGGAGATTTTACATCTTTTGTATTAACCTGGATGGAGGTGGAACACATTCTTTTTAGTAAAGCATCACAAGAATGGAGAAGCAAGAATCCAATGTACTCAATTCTGATATGAAGGCAATAGATGATCTAATACAAGTGGGGGGGTAGGGAAATGAGGGATAGGAGAGGGGGAGGGGGATAGGGGTTTACAGTGTGCAGCACACCTCTTGGGAGTGGGACACAATCACAAGAGGGACTTTACCTAACAACTGCAATCAGTATAACCTAATTCTTTGTACTCTCAATGAATCCCAAACAATAAAAAAGGGGGAAAAAGATAATAAAATGCTACAGTAGTTAGTGGCAAAGGGATAGACACACACACCAGTGAAATAAAAAATGAAAAGGCAAGTTATAGATAAGAAAAAATCTGTAAATCACATATCTGAAAAAGACTTGTATATAGAATATATTAAGAACTCTCAAAATTCAATAGTATGAAAACCACTCAATTAAGAATAAATAAAAGGCTTCAACAGACTCTTCACCAAATGGGATCAAAAGAAGGCAAATGGCATATGAAAAGATATTCATCATCATTAGTCATCCGAGAAATGCAAAGGAAAGCTATGGTAAGATGACAACATAATAAAACATACTGAAAATACTAAGGGATGGGAAAAGTGTATAGCAAATGGATTCTTCATGCATTGCTGATGAGAATGCAAAATGTTACAGCCACTCTATAAAACAGTTGGACAAGTTTTCATAAACTTAAGTATGCACTTACCATATGACCCAACAGCCCTTCATTCACAAAGAAAGCTCTAATACATATAAATAAGTTAACCCTTGAACGATGTTTGAACTGCGTGCTTCTACTTATGTGCCTCTGCCACTTCTGACATAGCAAGACCAACCTCTCCTCTTTCTCCTCCTCTGCCTACTCAACCTGAAGAAATGAGGATTAAGACCTTTCTGATGATCCACTTTCTCTTAATAAATAGTAAATATATTTTCTATTCTTCATGATTTTCTTAGTAATATTTACTTTTCTGTACCTTACTTTTTGTAAAAATACAATATCTAGTACTTATAACATGCAAAATATATGTTAAACAACTATTGTTATCAGTCAATAGTAGGCTATTAGTAGTTAAATTTTGAGGAAGTCAAAAGTTATACAAGGATTTTTAAGTGAACAAAAAAGTACCCCAACCCCCGTGATGTTCAAGGTTTAACCCCACTTCTAGTCTTTCTATTCATGATCTCCAAGACAAGGAAAGGACACAAATTTCCTTCCACAGGAGGACGAATAAACAAACTCTGGTGTGTACATAAAACAGAACACTCATAGCAATAAAAAGGAACAAATTATTGAAATACTCAATAAATTGGATAAAAGACAAAGATATTATTCTGTGTAAAAGAAGCCATTTTCAAAAACTTAAAGACCACATGATTCCATTTATTTGACATTCTCCAAAGAAAACAAAGTAGCTATACTATCAGAGATCTTACCTGTGTTACCTGGTGTGATTAATTAGGGGAAGAGAGCTGTGACCGCACAGGGAGAGCCTAAGAGAGGTGTTTGGAATGCTGGACTGGGACTGTTATGTACATGAGGTAGTAGTGGTTATACAAATCCATACATGTGTTTGTACATGTAATTGTACAAACAAAAAAAATTTTTCACTTTGCTTTAGGGCAATTTTAAAACCAAATTTAATATCTCAGGATCTGTTAAGTTCCCATTTAAAAGAAACCAAGACAAAACAAAAAATCCAGCCAGGCACCGTGGCCAGCAGCTTCCAGAGGCTGACAGCAGGATGCCCAACAACCCGAGTCTGAGGTTGCTGTGAGCTATGCTGCCATTGCACTCTACTCAGGGCATAGGCTGGGACGCTGTCTCAACAACAACAAAAAAGACAGAAACAAGGTCAGAAGCAGTGGCTGTAGGAAATTCAGGGCTTTAAACTCTGCTTGAAGAGTTGCCTACTGCAAAACTGACACTGAACAGAAATCATACTCATAGTTCAATAATGACATGGAAAACAAGAGGCTTTGGTTATATGGTGAATGGAATAATAATATATGATGACTAGTGGGGTCGCTGATGTGCATTTCTAAAATTCACCAAAAAAGACCAGAATGGCTTTTATGCCACTTGACGAGAGTAGAGAGTAGCTACAGAAAGATCCTCCCTCCCTCAGATATAAATCAATGTAATCTCACAATTCATCTTTCAATAAATTATATCTCTCAACTATACTTAATTAAATTTATAGGTCTGGTCTCTGAACACTTTCACAGACAGACTGGCTAGCCTAATGAAACTGAAAACAGTATTTCCCACCTACTGTCTTTTCCTCTGATAACACAGAGATTCTTTAACAACAGCAAAGCAAATCTAGGCTACGTTAAAACCTAGTGGTCCTTTTTAGAGGACCACTTTGAGGTAACCATTTCAGAAACTGATAATTTGGCTTTCTTATCTACATTTATAATAAGATGTAGAGCTAATGTTGCCATAATTCTGCACATTCGTAATAAACCCTTTGGTGGGTTGCAAAAACTGTTTGGACTATAAAAATAGGACCCATGAATTTTAGGGTTAAACTAACTCAATCTTAGTGGCCCTGAGGGAGGAAGAAAGCCTAAAGGAAGGTGACCCTGTCTCTTCCCAGGTTTCTGAGTCTTGAGACTAAGCAAACTGCAAATTCAGGGAGGAAAGAATTTGGACTTTATTTCCTTTATATTGTAACCTATAAGGACGAAGCAATTTAACATTTATACTCTAATTTTTTTTGAAATTTAATAACAAAAAGGGAGTAATACTGTTCAATATTGAATAACATACTTCTGATAACATCTTTTCAGAGGATTTTTATGTTGTAATTTGGGCTCATGGTCTAATCAAGTGAGTTCTCTTGCACAACATTAAGTGACATGGGATAATAAATAACAAAGAAAGTGGTATTTCAGTAAGGTCCATAGGGGCTATGGAGTTAATGTACTTAATTTCTGAACCATTCAGGGTTTTATAAAATTATTTTTAGAATTAAAAATTGTTCTATAATGTTTTAGGCATCCTGTATTATCTATTTACTACTAACAGACTCTTCCTTTAATTTTTCTCACAGGTTAGTAAAATGGTAAATTCAAAACACTAATTCTGTTATCTAGGGATAATACTCTGAAAACTTTAAAGGTTGTGTCATTGCTGGTAAACATCATTCCAAACCACTTATTTGACAAAAGAGAACAGAGGGTTTATTTGCATTTAAGCGAAAGAGGCCACTACCAAACTCATTCTTTTACAAAATTACTATTTAGTATTTCTTATTTAAAAATTCAATTACCATATGGTCCTTTACATGATTTCTGGTCAGAATAAACTAACTTTATGTCATCGGTAGACTTCTTTTTCTTCTTCGGAGAATCTTAAAGAAATGTAACAAAATATTTATGTTTAATAATAGTAATGACAGAATTATCCAAAATAGACTATCCTTTCATGCCCAAGAGGAGGTGAGCCAGATGCTAACCTATACCCGGGATTTGAAAGGATAAGTTAGGGAAGATATTCTTGAAATACTACCTATTCATGAGATATACTTGGAGGAATAGATGTTTTTTGCAGCAGAAAGGAAAATCTATACTTGCCGGAACTGGGAAATGTAATTTCCTCCCCGTGGGGAAGCATACAAATAGAGTGACTGGGCTGAAGAGCCACCAGCCAATAGGGTATTTTTCTAACTATAAAACATAAATGTGGCAAAGGATCCTCACTATATGTATGATCAATGAGCTTTTAGTAGAGATGTAAAATGTGAAGATTGATCTGCTTTTTCCTTTTTCCATTCACTATTCACTAAACAGATTCTTCTGCTACTCCCTTTCTCTCTGTCCTTCTCCAAGTTGTATGCTTGATAGAAGATAACATTATTACAGGGTATAACTCAATTTAATTTGTATCATGAATATGCTTATTCTCCTGTCACTTTTCCAATATTAATGAATTTATGTACTATTTATTCTTTAAAAGAGAATTTAAGGTAAAATAATGTTTAACTTATCTACTTGAAGCTCTTCATATTACATGAGAAAGTTAATAAATTTGCAGGAATATGTACAGTTATTCCTCTGATTTCTTATCTAAGGCATGATGTCGTTACCTCTGCCTCAATAAACTAAATGGATTAAATTAATCTATTTGGCAAACATGCACTTAGTATGTAATATCTTTTTCTTGTTTCTCTGTTGAGCACAAAGATGGGAATTTATCAGTGTAAGTTATTAAGACAATGGGAAGTACATAATGGTATATTAAGAATGGTATAAACTACTAAAGAGATGCAAAGAGGAGGGATCTTCTAATTAGTGTTATCAAGAAAGACTTTACAGATTGTACTTTACAGTAGGGTATAAAGAATTGTAGGATTTTTTTCTTTATTAAATCATAGCTGTGTACATTAATGCCTTTATGGGGCAGAGTGTACTGATTTGATTAAATAAAGGCAGTGATCAGGTCATTCTCACCTGCGAAAATTGGATACAGCAAGGCAGAAAAATTGGAAAGGTAATCTGCGTTTAAGAAATGGCCAGTTGGCGGTGCCTGGACTCAGTGGGTAGGGCGCTGGCCCCATATACTGAGGGTGGCAGGTTCAAACCTGGCCCCAGCTGAACTGCAACAAAGAAAATAGCCAGGTGTTGTGGCGGGCACCTGTAGTCCCAGCTACTTGGGAGGCTGAGGTAAGAGAATCTCCTAAGCCCAAGAGCTAGAGATTGCTGTGAGCAGTGTTATGCCATGGTACTCTACTGAGGTGACAAAGTGAGACTCTGTCTCTACAAAAAAAAAAAGAAAGAAAGAAAGAAAAGAAAAAAGAAATGGCCAGTAGTAGTCTCATTGACCGAACAGCACATAAAAGAAGTGTTTACCATGTGTTACAATGTTTGTGCTCTTTAGGTAATTATTTAGGAGTATTAGATTTGTTTTCAGCTGATGAAACTGGCTCAGAGAAGTAATTTTCCCAAATCATTACATGACTAGAAAGTGATAAAGTGGGACTTAACTTCAGCAGCCTGGCTCGAGGGCCTGTGACAATCCCACCTAAATCATAGCCTTCATCTTAAAAGATGTAGCGTGACATAAATTCAAAAAATTAGGTAGAGACTGGACTCTGGACACTCATGAGTCCTTGCCTAAGCACTGTGAGCTTCATTTAACAGGTAACAGTGTTTGGGGCAAGAGAAGAAACCATCAGAACAGAGTTTCAAGTGTAATTATGAAGAAGTACACAAAATAACTTTGAGGTAAGTAAAAATAAGGCCTAGCCTAGATCACAGAGTAACATATGCTGGAGTGACACAGAGGGTCCAGACGTAGGAACACATTTGATGGAGCAGAAATAGAATTGACAGGGCACTGTGATGACAGTTGCATGGAAAATGATCACTTTCTTTCCTGGTACTTCATAGTCAAAAACAGTTAAAACAAGTCCACATTTTCACATTCTGGCCATGAAGTTTTAACTGTTATCAAGGCCGAGGGGACCCAATTATGTTTTATAAAGTTATAAAAAGGAAGCTGGCAGAGATTGGACACAGCAAAAGGCATGGCTCCATATAATTTCTTTCAAACTTTTGTCATTTTCTTTCTTTTTATTTCTTCTTCTCTTCCTTCTTTTTCCTCCTTCTCTAACTTCTCATTTCATCCTTCTCTTCTTTTTTATCTGGTACTATTCATTCTTACTGATTATCAACATAGTAGAACACCATGTTGCTATATTAGAGCAATTATCTTAAAATTATCTTAAAATAGAATTAAGGGATTTGGTTAGAATTGCAGTACAGGTAATCTTGCTTGTCTCCTGAGCCACTTGATAAGACTGTTTGAGTCTTTTATCATTTTTACCTACATGTCTGCTTTTCAATTTGAGTGTAATGTGGAAATGCCTACAATAGCACCTGGCACAAAGTGTAGCAAGTTCAAGTACACAGAGTATTACAAAGGGACTTTTCTCACAGTTGTATTGTGTTCCATCTTGTCCTCTGTATTTAAATGTAATTTTTTCCATATCTTCTCCTTTGAAGCCAATATCTTGCATTCTTTGTAAATGATAAGCCATTTTTTTCTCTAGAAGGGCTTGTTTCTACAACATTAAAGAAAACAGATAGGGTACCATCAACTTACCATTTAATAATACAAGAACAAATCTTTTAAAAGTGGCATTGGCATTTAAAAGTACATTGGAAATTTGACAGTCACTCTTGTCTTGTGACTAGTAAGGTCACAAAAATGGAGGGCAGAAATGTAGTAATTTTCCATTTGTAACTAAACACAATGAATTTATTTGTTTGTTTATTTATTTTTGAGACAAGGTCTTGGCTCTCTTGCCCAGACTTATGTGCAGTAGAGTCATCATAGCTCACTGTGACCCCAAACTCCTGTGCTCAAGAGATCCTCCCACCTCAGCCTCCCAAAATGTTGAGATGACAGCCATGAGCCATAGCACCTGGCAACAGAGAATATATTCAACACTTTATTGCAGTTTATCTTACTGGGCAGTTTCTGATAAAAATGAGTCTCTCACCCACAGCTATCCTGGCAAGTTTAAACAGTTTCTCATTTTCAATTGGAAGATTTCCTGAAGGCTTAACTAAATGTCATTCAGGCCTACCACAAGTAAATATAAAATAATAGAAGAAATTTAACTTCCTTTTGTGAATCCCTGTGCTACTACTGGCCCTGGATTTCCTAGAAAGCAGTGAACTACACAGAGGAGCAACTATGGAGATCCTTAGAGGTCTCTATAGATTAAATGTAATTACGAAGAAGTTTAAGATTCATCAAGAAAATGGGTACATAGGCATAAGGGAACTACCAAAGCCCACAGAAAGGACCACTCCAACAAAGTAGAACCTATCCAGGGGTGGAAATCATGTCTATTCTCACCAGCTTCACTAGAAATCATGTCTTTTCTCACCAACTTCATGAGTCATAGGGTTTTAGGTAGAGTAATAAAATGGGTCTCGTATTATTAGTAGGGAAATACTAGACCAAGCATGGCTTTTGACCTATCTAATAAGTTTTAAAAAGTAATACCTATATGATAAAAGTTTTCAAATAAATTATCTATATCCAAAAAAGCTAAAGAATATATAATATAAAATTATTCACCATATCAAGTGAAATTCACAATATCTGGCATCCAATCAAAGAATACCATGCATGTAAGGAAGCAGTGAAGTAGGACCCATAAAAGAAGGTAATCAATTAACAGCAACTCAGAAATGATGCAAGAGGTTAGAAATAAAGACAGCAATGTTAATCCAGTTAACAAAACTATATTTGTATATTTACAATTAAAGAAAAGCTATGGAAGATACAAAAAGGATCAAAATCAACTAATACAATGGATTCATTAACGGCAGAATAGACATCGCAGAGGAAGAGATTAGTTAATGTGAATTCAGCAACAGAACCCCCCCCCACACACACACACAAACCACTGAGGAAAGAAAGAAATAATGATATTTCAGTGAGACGTAAGAATTTTAAGCAGCCTATTATACCCAAGGAGAGGAGAAATACTTCATAGTAGTTACCTAAAATTACAAACATAGTTACAGTGTGAAAATAAACCTAAGTAGCTATAGCATATAATAGGGCAGCACTTTTTTATAGTCAAAATATGTTACAGTCAAAATAGAGAAAAACTGTTCATAACATTCAGTTCTGGATAAGGAATATCATTTGGGGTAACTGATCCACAACCATCTCACAAAATAATTTTTACTTGGAAAAATCAAAACTAATAAAAGATTTTCTTGAAATAGCCCAAGTTGCAGGTTCAAGCTAACCTACCTTCCTGTCACTCTCTTCTCTGCTTCTACGTCGTTGTTCTTCTATCTTTTGTTCTCTTTTTACATCTTCTCCAATCTTTGTCAAAAGTAACATCTCTTTTGTTTTCCACTCCTGAAAAGCACAATGTTACTGTACGTGGTGTGTCTTCCCTTCCCCAGAATATCTTCCCATTTCGTCTTACCAACAAGCAAATTAGAAAAGTCAGGGCATAACCAAAATCAGGTCGAGCATGATGGAAGTCATTTACGGGGTTCAGAATGGGCTATTCTTATTGCACTTTCATTAGGAATGCAGGTGTAATTATTTTTCACCACAGCTAAATTTTAAAAATTGTCCTGTCCATATTGAAGGCTATAAACAGTATCTGACAACTTTCTTAAACTGTTCTTTACGGGCAGAAATTGGCTCATACACACATAGTTTGTGGTATCTGCTTCGTTATTCTATGTAACAACTTGTATACTAAAGCTGTAGAGAAAGTTCCATGGAAGTAAATTTTTAGAACTGAAGAATTTATTCCCATTTATAACTATTTGTCAATGAAACATCTGTACATAATCATTCTCTATACAGTTTCAATTTGCCATCTCTCACCTCTTCAATCTTTCTGCGGAGATTGAGTTTTCTTCTGGTGTGTTCCCGCTGTCGTCGTTCCTCTCTGTTCATCAGGAGCAGACGCTGTTCTTCTGCTGTGCGCTCCAGTTGTTCCAGCTCCTTACTTATCATGTCCAGGTATCTGGGTAAGAGTGCAAATATTACTACAGATAAACTGGGTGTTTCCTTTATGTGGCATCCTCTGCTTGGATTCCCAAACTACCTCTTTGCTTTTCATTTTTTGAACTATAGGACTTCTACAGTTTTTCTATCAATCCTGTTCTTGAACCTTTAGGCCAGCCTAACCCAATAACTCACCAGGTTTTACTCATTTATTATAAGATCTCTCAACTATATGAGTATCTGCTACCATGACCAAGACAAATAGTAAAACACGGGAGAAACTGATTAAAAGCGTTCTGCACAGTAAGCCTTCATAACTCAGTAGTTTAAGAACATGAGCCTGCAAAGAAGTCTGAAATAACTGAACCAGTAACTTGAGAAATGCAGGAAAGCAAAATAGTAACTGGAATTCTCTAATAAAAATGTGGTCTTGGGTTCTTTGCAATTTGTAAGTTGAACTAATCTTCCATTTGTAGTCTGTGTCTCTGGTCCATGTACATCAATATGTATTATGACACTACCATAAAATGAAACCATGGAATTACAAAAGTCAGGTAATACAGCCCAATCCTCATCCTACCCTAGTCAAGGAAAAAGAATATAAGGCCTCCTCACTTCTGAGAAATGGGCTTGACCAAGGAATGTCAATGACTGAATGTGACTGGGTAACATCTGATTGAGCAAACATTTTCAGAGAAACATGTGTTTACATTGGTATATAAATAAAAGCCTCCTTTTTCTTTTTTTTTGAGCTTTACACTAACTTCCTCAAACCTAATGCCGTCAGTCAGATGAAGCACAAAACACTGTGATGTTTGAGGCATGTCCTAAAGATACATTTCTCCCTCTCCCACTACAGAAAGAATTTTAGATCCAATTTTTCATTCCATTACCAGTTTGGCTCACCTCTTGGGCTCCTAGAAAGCCTGAATTCTCTGCGAGAAATTACCTTTCATAGCCTGGACTCCAAGTTTCCCAGGCCCTGCATCTCTTGGTCTGGTCTCCCTTTCTCTCCACTCTGAGAGCTATAAGGCAATTAGTGTCTAGTACTTCAAAAATAAAAAGACTGCTTTTAATTCTTTCTAGTATTTTTCCAAGTTACTTGGAACCACAAATGTACATATAAAAACTGCATTGACTTTAATCTTACCTGTGCCTTACTAACCGCTCCTGGTCCTTCATTGATTGAGGGGTCTCCATTAGCAACCAGTTTTGGAGCTGTGCAACATCAGAACAATCAGGAATTTGATTGTTTTCCTGTAGCTTATGTAGTTGTTGTGCAAGCACTTTCTATTTAAGAAATTTGTATATTATATATATGTAATAGTTTTAAATTTCCCAGAAATAGAACCATTTAAATTCCTATCTCTTAGAAAAGATTGATTCTGTTTATTTGCGTGGATAACTGCACCAAAATAAATATTTGTCTCTCTGGAAATGCAAGATAAATATTTCAGTTTACTTGTCTACCTTTTCTGAATAAATAAAGTGAAAATATTCAAGTAGAAGAGAAACTCTGGGCACAGGAAAGGGAAGTGGGAAAAAACATAGAAGTTTAGGCGAATCATTCTCATTTTTATCCAACCCTATTTACCTTTAGAACATAACTGGTAAAAAACGCACACGCACACTTTTTTCATTTGAGCCAATTCTCTTGACCTTCAAATCTGAATTAACTCTCTCTCTCACACATGTACACACAGCCCCACAACTTTGAGTTAAAAATTAAAAGGAAGTCGCTATCTATAATCTCTCATTCTACATCTAATCATTCCATTTCACATTTAGGGACTTTTTTTTACTGAATGAATGCAGCTCATACGTGTGGGTACAAAGAAGAGTATACGTGTTCTTTGAACCAGCTGTTGCACACTACGGCTATTCATTCTGTTCTTCTCCCATTGCTCAAAATGTTTTGAATTCTGGTGTAAGAATATTGCTGCCAGGGTGGCTCCTGCGGCTCAGAGGAGTAGGGCGCTGGCCCCATATGGGGAAGGTGGTGGATTCAAACCCACTCCCACCCAAAAACTGCAAAAAGAGAAAAGAATTTTGGTGCCACAAAAAGATACTTTTTGATTCCAAATCAGGTTGAAGGAACACATCTGACCAGCAATTTACTACTGAATTATGTTCGTTACCACTTCTGTAATGACAGACAACCCATTCCCTTTTCCCCTCTTGGCCAAATATAGGAACCTTCAAATATTTTTTATTCCTGCACTAACTTTTCATTTGGAAAAAATAACTAGTTACTTTGTCAATAAATTAAAGGTAATAAGATTATTAAAAACATACTCGACTTATAACCAAACATTTCTTTCAAATCTTATGTAAAGAAATGAAATTTAACTCACTTGTTCTCTTACATAGTTTCTTTCAAAGTCTAATTTTAAACTGGTAAGATAGTGCCTGTATTTATTCAATTCTCTCAAGGTACATACAATCTAAAAACACAAACAAAAATATGTAAATATTTAAAAACCAGAGCACTTTCCAGAGGAAAAAGAGTAATGACATAAAGTTTGATGACATTTTGTTATCAAGAGAAATACACAGTGAACATTTTTGTAAATAGCATCTCTCTATGTTTGTTAATCAAAGATAAATTTCTATCCCAAATATTACTTTAATAATATGACCTATACCATAATAGTTTAATATACACAATTAAGAGTTTTTGTAACACATATTATAATAATTAGTGTAATGAGTTCAATTAATTACAATATAATTGTAATTATAAATGTAATAACATTGTTCAACTTCGGAAAGAATGTATTCTATCATGGTTCCAACAGGCTATATTTTGCTAGATTACTACTTCATTTCATGTTTTTTAAAAGTGTATGAAACATATTCCTTTACAAATACATTCTTAGAAACAGAGAAAGAAGACTATAACACTCCTGTGAAAATGAACAAACCATTATGAATGTACACCTTTAAGTTATTTGTCAATAACCTTTCTATATTACAAAGGAAAAAACATAAAGAAAAAGTTGGTTTCATTTAGAAACAACTGTTGTCTGATTTCCCTTAACTGAAATACTGAATTTCAGTATTTATGAAATTAATTTATGGAATTGCCCATTAAGTTGTCTTCTCGCAACCATGTTAAAGGTGTTAAGTGTCCCCCAGTAAAGCGGAGAGGCAAGCTTTTATTAAAATATAAAGATTTTCATTGATTAAAAAGGAAATAATCTAAAACCCACTTTATTATTTCTGGTTACGTATCCCCCTTTCTTTAATCTCCTCAGGATATCTTTGCGCTTATAGTATGCTCGTAAGTGTGGATCATGGAGACTTTTATATTGGTTTTCCAAAAGTCGACAGTAAGGATCAGTCAGGTTAAAATCGCAAGAAGGCCGAAAAAGCTGCAAACATAGATTCAAAATATTAAAAATGTAAAGTTAATCCATTTTTACTTATAAATAATCTATTGAAATGACTAGAATTTTCATTAAAAATAAAACAGCAAGAATCCGAAGTGGAAAAAAACAGCAAGAAAACTAAAAAGATTCAGGTTGGGTAACCTGCCTTTCCCTTCCTCTTTTCCTTGCCTCTATGAATTATTCTAAAGGCCCACCCTCACTCCATTAGTTCTTCCTCTACTTCTCATCAATTCCTGGCTCTGAGCCAAATAAGAAAAGAGGAGAGAAAAAGAAAGGATATAGAAAATAATTTGTTTTATGATATAAGGCCAATGCTAAATTCTCTTTTTCTGCTTCCCTCCCACAGCTCAAGGCACTATCCTGAAAAGATAAAATGCTCAAAAGGGAAAATATTAATTATGATTTTATACATCAATCATCCAAAAATGAAGAAAAAAAACTTTCACCATGATTCATGGAAACTATGAATTAAAACACTACTAGTATGAATGTTTTTGATGGAATTTCTCAGTTAATCACTTAACCTCTGAATGGAAAAATGTGGAGGATGGAAGTAGATTGGAAAGTTGTGTTAAAGCTGTCTTTGCATTCTTTCTGAGTTTGGTTGGCCAGAACAACGTAAGTTTTACTTTGGAGTAGTATCAAATCAGAAGCTCCTTCAGGTCAGACAATTGGAATATGCGGGAGAAATGGCAAACCAGAGGGGACCTGCCCTGTTTATAGAAATTCAGTTTGATTTATGCTCCCACAACACTGAGCACCAAACCAGACGTGCCTACAGGTACCAATTTGCTACTTCTGGGCTCCTCTGGCTGTACCCACAAATGTATAATAGCAGTGCAATTTTTGAACATTATGAAGCCTGGCTAAGGAAGACCCTGAAAGGAACTTCCCCAAGATAGTAGAAGGATGTTTTGTATGCAGGCAAATGGGTAGACAGAAGGACCAGGACAGAATCCTCATTCTCACTGTGCATTCAAAAGAGTCTTTGTTGAGTTTCACACCTCTTGTTTAAAATTGAACTTTAATCCCTCCCAAAGGGTTTAGTAAGAAACTAGATTCCTTGATTACCAATGCTTTTTTGAGAAGGCAAAGGAAGGAAGTTTAAAAGGTAAAGTCTTGAGTTCAGTGAGACCAGATATGAATCCTAGATCTTTCCTAGAAGTAGTATAATCAGTGATAATAAGTCAAGGAGTAGACTGATTATCTCTTTTAAATATTGTCATTTAGCTGTTAACTTCTTTTACATGTCGACTTTTAGCTGTGACAGGTGTTTCTTAAGATCAAACCTGAGCTCTTGACCTATAAACAGAGAATACCTTTAAACAAATCCATTCACTAGAGCCAAGGCAACCATGTTGTTATCAACTAAAATAATTGGTCTCCCTTAAAATCTGTAAGTATAAAACATTACTTCATCTAGGAGACTACATTGAAAGAGACCAAAAAATTTCAGGAAGTCAGTTTTCAGAATAACCAGTCTGTTTTGGGCAGTGCCT